CCGTCAACTTTTAAAGTCAGTGTTCTTCGCAAAAGTCCATTTTTCAACCTACAGTCTTCCAATATCAAATGCTTACAGTTTGGAAAATAAATTTCGACAATTTAAGGATCCTTTTCAATTTTTGTGATAAATCTAATACCGGTAGCTAGATTTCTATGAATCTCTTGAAGTAATGAACTCAGTTAGATTTTTTCCCAATGTAAGAATATGTCTACAGAATAAATTCAAAATTTATGTTACAAGCTTAAGCGAAAGCGTAAAAAATATCTATATACCAGGAAACGTGTACTAATTAAAAGTCCTTAAAAGAGTTTCCTATGTTGATTGTAAATTGTATCCCTGTAGAGTTTTGTACTTTCTAATCAATTACCCGTACTCAATTTTGATATATCAATCTTAAGATTTTTAAGTATTTAAATTGTATTTTGATTATAGATTTTCAAATTGAGTACCAAATTTAAAAAAAATGTTGTGATTGAGCGGAACACCTGGGTAGCTCATATCAAAAGCTGATAGATATATGGCCTCTGAGTGATACAATCAATGAATGGTACAATAGAATTGTAGAATATACAATATTTGGATGACTGATCCGGGAACACTTGTCATATGATTAAAAGAGATCTCCATAGTCAAAACAAAATAAAACAAATCAAAACACATACAAACCCTCCCTTACACATAAACAAAACGTAAACACACATGTTTAACCCTCTCTCTCTCCCATTGATTGACACGCACACACCCTGACTTATTTGTACACAACATGTTACACACACACATTTTCACACACAAAATATTGCAATATTTGATTAAGGAGCTTACATATTATTGCAAGATTTGATACATTGATTTTGTTTTTCAAAGCTACTCATCGCCCGCGTGGCGCAGTGGTTAGATTCTCAAAATATTAAAAACCTGACTAATTTTGCATATAATTAAGACGTTTACATTTTAAACAATTATCGAACTATTTGATACAATGGTTGGCAAGTGATGGCGTCTCCATATATACAATCAATCAAAGATTGAGACTTTATAAACATTGAGAAATAATGTAAGTTTTATTTTGAACAACTTTAACTTTGTTTTACGCCTTGTTGATTAATTATTACATGACATTATTTAACAATATTATATAATTATTCATGTATAACACTTAATAAAAGAGGACAGAGACTAAAACCTGGATAATGAAAATATAAGACCTAATAAAACATTCCGAAGAGGTTGTATATATATATGACAACATAATTGTTGGGATCATTAATACACTGAATTTCGACGGATTTTTCCGTATATTTATAATATTATGTAAAACTAGATTGTTTATCAACATCGTGTGTAATTTTCAGCGATTCATAACATCATTTTCAATAATTAATATCAATGTCAGGAAACAATATACATTGCCTTTCATTAGCACAAAATATATGTCTTATTTGATAGAAGAACAAATTGTAAATAAAAGGGATGACAAGTCATTGTAAATGCACATGAACTTGAAACATAACTGCTAACTGTAATTGAAGGAGTGCTGAAATTTATGTTTCATCAACTTACCTGTCAATAATTTACCTATATGATAGCTTTGGAGCATAGAGCGTAGAGAATGCTCCTGCATGCCGAATCAACTGAGAAAAACAAACTTCATATGAGGTTATGATTGATGTTATATTGTTTCACGTTCCTCTAGAGATTTTTTCACAATTTCATCCTATACTCGGTACTCAGGGCCATTTAACAGGGAGAAATCTTTTTCTCTGCCTGTACTTCCTGCGACACGGGACCTCGGTTCATATGACCTCGTCCAAAGGACCGGTCTCCATGTCAAACAGTGGGATTCGAACCCGCGAGGTAAGAATCAACTCCTTACTGCGCAACTCTACAGCAGACTCTAAAACTACTGCGTCACGCCGGCGACGTATCAGGCGATGAAGGTATATTGCTGCTTATACATGCACAGAATTATGTATCTTAGTGTAGTCTACTTGTGTGCCAAGTTATATTGAAATCAGACCAAAACTGTAGGAAGAGTAGCATTTTGAAAGAATTTCACAGAAATTTCTTTTTTTAGTAACCATGGCAATACCGTACATCGAAATCATAAACCGATGCAGAGAATTATGTATCTCAGTGACGTCTACTTGTGTGCCAAGTTATATTGAAATCGGACCAAAACTGTAGGAGGAGTAGCATTTTGAAAAATTGTTTACAGAAAGACAGACAGACGGACAGCTAGACAGACTGATGAACGGACGCCGGACGCATTACTATCGCATAAGCTCTTCTGGTCTCTGACCAGTAGAGCTAAAACAATGTTATTTTTATTTTAAACTACCTTAACTTTGGTTTACGCTTTGTTGTAAAATTGGTTAAATCTTTTGTTATCATGGCTCTTTGAAAGACGATGGAAATATTAAAGTCAGAAAAATGTCTATGAAAAGGGCGGAATGTTACCATGAACAGAGTACAAAGGAAACCGGACGCCAGCCGACCTTTGATTGGAACAGCTCACTTGAGCATTAAGTTTGTAGAGGATGGATTCAACATGCGAAGTTCATTCTGGAAAAAAAAAATCGAAATTTTCCAGCTGTCAAAATGTGTCTGTGTACTTTCAAGCGAATTTAAAAATGATACAAGAACTCAAGGATGGTAATTAACTTCACATTCACAACACAGAGAACTTTGAATCAGAAATATGCACTTTATGACATGACGTATTGGTTTAAGAAACATTAATAACAAACATGCAAGCAACATTTTATTATATTACTTCATAGATGATTAACCTTTAAAACTATTTCAATTTAATTTTTTTTCTAATTAAAAAAGTCAAAATTAATATTAATATCCAACAACAAAATTATTAATTTACCTTATAATACTTTTTTATATTTCCTAAATTTGTTTATTTCCTGATTTTAAGTATATCAATTGTACATGACAGTATATATAAAGTTACATTTCATTAAAATTAAATCAAATTCCATAAACACGAACACGATGATTAGGATTAACTCTATCCTTCTTTACCTCGTAATAAGGATTATGTATGGAGGAATAAAAACAATCAATAGTGAAACAGGGGTGTGTTCCAACTCTATAAAGTAAGAAATTTTAAACAGATAATTATCTATAACATTTTAAAAGTTTTGATTATAAGTTGGCAAATATTATACAAGAAAATATTTTTCATATATAATTTCCCTAGAAGAAAAATGCAATATTCTATTATCTACATGTATTCTAATTTTACCAATGTTTTATTAAGTTATAAATGTCTTGCAACCTTAATCTTTAAAACCATAAACGACATTTACTGAAGGCAAAAAGAAACGCAGGGTAAACTTTAAAGGTGAAACAATTTTCTTTTTCTTTTTGTATTTTTCACATTCCTATCTAACTTTTAAAATTTTCTGGAATTAAAATGTAACCAAATTCCACTTTATTTTGCCTTAAAATACATGAGACTCATGACGATAGCCCCCAAAAGATAAAAATCGAAAATTATCACTAATTTTTCCCTCGCGCATCTGTTATATAGCCTTGATTCTCATTTGCATGAAGATCATGAGAGTGTTAATCCTTCAAATAGGGATATCAACGCTTTTAACAAGGCAGTCTTTAGTTGAATTAAGTTATCAGCTTGGATATTTCAAACCCTATAACCCACTTACTCAGACAGATGCTCAATGAGAAAAAAAGATGACATTTACAGAGATCAGTCGTGTGGGTACATATGCCAGTTTGAGAGAAAGCTTTGACTAACCCTGGATACAATTTGCCGGGGATATACACGCTAAAAATGAGGCAAATGACGTCCTCTTGCGCCAATGAGAGGAACACCAACGTAAAATTGACAAGCTCAAAAAATTAAAGCACAGTCGGTTTCTTTTAGTTTTAGGGTAATTGTAATGACGATGATAGCCGACTGTAAATGCAGTTTTTGTGGTACTAAGTTGGCGATTCAACATACGGCAGGATGAATGACCTAATCTTAACGTGGCTCTATTACGCATCAACATCAGCGTCACGGTTCGTTGAAAGACATTCCAGACTTTCATTGACAACGGGTAAAACGTTCTTTTGGGGAAAAATTGCAAGAATCTGCACAACAACCCATTGTTGCCTTTGTCCTTACTTAAGTACATCATTGTAAAAACCAGACCCCATAAACCTTCCGTCGGCTGTGTCAAAATTGCATCGCCCGCGTGGCACAGAGGTTAGAGCGTGTGTAGAGTCGTGAAATAAGGAGTTGATCCTAACGTCGCAGGTTTAAATCCCACTGTAAGACGTGGAGACCGGTCTTTCAGATGAGACCGTATAAACCGAGGTCCAGTGCTGCAGTAGGTGCTGGCACGAAAAAGAACCCTCCCTGCCCTTTGGCCTTGAGCGCCGAATATAGGACAGAATTTGCAGCTCTCTAACGGCTCGTGGTGGTGTCTCCATACAAGTTAAAAATTCTCGAGAGGGACGTTAAACAATATAATCAATCAATCAATCAAGAATGCAAGAAATTCATGTAGTATATACTGTATACTGGGAAATTTTCGCCCCGTTTTATTTTCGCCCTTTTCGCCCTATTCTCATTTAGGCGAATTTAAAACGGGGCGAATTCAAAGAATACAGTATAATTTCTTAAACAAAATTATGATTGGGCGAATTTAAAGCGGGACAAAATTGTTTTCAAGTTTGAAAGGGCGAAAATAACCCTGTATACAGTAGATATTAAAAAACGATTTGTATACTTCATATGCATCAATTTTACGGTTGAGTCATTCTAAACACTGATTTTAAGTGCATAGTATCAAAGATTTTCTTTGGCCAGTTTTCAAATTTTCAGTCATGCAGTCGAAAAAATGTTGCGTATTATTTTACCCTGTGCAGCCTTTTCCTTTCAGTTTCCTTGTCAAAAAGTTTATGAAAATATATAATTTATATTGAAAAATAATTGAAGAATGATGATATTTGAGAGATTTATTGTGATATTTATTCACAGAAAGGAGAAAGAATGTTGCAATAATTATTACAAAGAAAGCGAAATGTGCAAAGGTAATTAATGAAGATACGAGCATAAAAGACTTCCACGAGTTGTCAATAAAGAACAGACATTTTTTACTGTTGATAACGATTTTTCTTTGCAAAAACGAAAACTGCTATATTCTGTTGAAATCTTGCTTTAAGCTTGTCCTAGTGGATGGTTTGGCAAGAATTGCACAGAGAAGTGTCCGAAAAATAAATATGGACAGCTTTGCCTTGAAATATGTGACTGCACATCTGATGAAAGGTGTAATCCTGAACGTGGATGTACGTTTGATTATTTTTTAAAATATTTTTTATTCATTATGATTATTTTTGGCTGTTATAATATATATCATTATTCAAATCATTTTAATGTATTTGACTCAGGTGTCTCGAAAGAAGGTGTTGGTGTGTGCTCTGAGGATGATGGGTAAAGTTTTACGTTTTTTCAAAGTAAATTATTAAATGTAACAAATCGTTTGATAAAAGATCCCATATATCATTTTGTAATATTACTGTAAACGTTCTTTTTTTAAGGAAATAACTTAGCTTTCCTAGATTGCTTCAATATACACTTATTTTACATGTATATTTGTTGTGCTCACAATATTTTTAGGACATGCTTAAAAGTTTTGTGAAAATTTGAATCTTTTAATGTTGTCACAATTGAAAATAATAATTGTATGTTCAATTTAGGCTTTTTTCACTCGTATACAGAGGTGAAAAGCTTTTATTTTTGACCTATTATCAACAGTTAGGGAAACTGAGCAGTTATATTTTTTATGGAACAACAACAATTACGATACGAAACCTGACGTTTTAAGGTCTCGTCTGACGCGACGAATGAGAATCGAACCTCTTGATCAAGAATAGTGCGCCCAATTTCTCGGCTACATTGATACATTGATCTTCCCTTTATACATATTGAAGAAAATTGTTACTATTTAAAAACATGATAAAAATACCCCAAAATACTTCCTTGGAATTAATGAATTTGTCGCTTGTAAGAGATCTAAGGTTTCCAAACAAAGGGTTGAAAAGACGTTTTGTTTTCATTTTTAAAATGTCTACTTTAATTCATTAAGCAACTGCAAGCTCCTTGTCATGATCCGGGAAATAACGAAAAAGTCCGTCGTCAGTTCAGTATATAACTTATGGACTAACAATTAGTATGAAAAACGTCAGTCAGCATTTGATTCACTGATAAATAGTATTTGCTGACAAGGTCATTGTATCGCCCACAGAACTTGTTTATACATAGAACAAGCTCTTGCGTATCGAATCAGGATGTTTTTAACAAAATAATTTTGCAAATGACCAATTGCAATGACAAGGTACGTAAATTTATGAGTTTCATTTTTATTCAAAATGCAGCTATCAATGATATCAAAAAGCCTTTAACGTTAATTAATCGTGGGGAATAGCTATATAGTTGTGTATAATGTTGAAAAGTTGCAATTTTTGAGCTGTTCATTTTGAAAAAAAAATTGTGATTTGAAATTGTCCGAAAATCCTTGGAATTTTTAAGTATAAACATCTCATTTATACCACCTCCTGAATATATTGTTGCACAAAAACTGAATTAGCAGAAGATTTAATATTGTCTCATATTTTCTTCTGTAGGTATGATAATTTATCATAGATTCATGTATGTAAAAATCAACTGATGTACTTTGGTTTTAGTTTATTGCACCACAAAATATTTGATAACTCTTCCTATATCTGATTTATTTTCGTTTCAGAAAGTTCAAATGCTGTGCAAATTATTATGAACGTATAAAAAATAAATGCTCAGGTGTGATATACACATTTTTTATTCAAGTAAATATCAAAATTTGGGAGTATGATTTAAAGAATTAGAAGAATTAGAAGTATGGTGAAGGCTTATAACTCTACGAGAAAAGGTGATATATTGAGTAGTCTACGGTTAAAAAAATATATATTCATGAGAGAGAAATATTTACAAAGGATACTTTTTCATTGAATTACGATGTAATTGTTTGCACTAATAAAATCTTTAATTTTCAGTTTGTGTTCCTGGAACATTTGGGGAAAATTGTGAGGAAATTTGTCCAAATGGAACATTTGGTTATCTTTGCCTCGAGAAATGCAACTGCAGTGAAGGAGTAACCTGTGACAAAAGACTTGGCTGCGTTGAGCACAGTAGGTCTAATTAACATGTGAAATATTCAATTAAAAATAAAATCAGCAGGAAAAGGATTCTTTTTTTTTTATTAAGAATTGAATTAGGAAGGACGAACGCTAAAACCCATACATACCATCTTTAAATCAATTTTATACTGTTTATTTTTTCATTTCAACAAACTTTTGAAAAATATAAAGAAAATGTTATTCTTATTAATTAAGATCAAATTATCATTTTCCCCTCTCATTACAGGTGCTTCAAATAAAGGAAATTTGTTTATCATTGTTGTTTCAACAAGTCTTGTAGTCATCCCTAGCGCAATTTTAATAATGCTTCTAAAGATTAGGTATATTTTATTCAAATCTATGTTCTTTTATCAGAAAATTTATTTAAAATCTAACGATTTTGATTTAAAATTGTACATTTTTTTCAAAGGGGCGTAACGTTGTGCAAGAAATGCGGTGGTAAGTTTCCTTGCAATTTCATTACTGAAATCCTTTTAATAACAAGTTAAAACATAAAGTACAAATTCTGAAATAATATATTTTTTTCTGTGCACAGATTTTGCACCGTCAAATGATAAATCCGATAAGATATTACCTGTTTCTAACATTCTCTACAAAGAAAAAAAGACAAATCAGCCTACACCAGTACCTGTACCGAAACTTAGTTCAAGAAACAACACGGAGCAAACCTCTTTTAATGAGGACGGTGGTAATGAAGAATTCGAGCAAGGTGTTTACAATACCCTTACACTTCGAGTCACTGGTTACGTTGAACATGAAACATGGACAAGACATCCAGTCATTGATCACCATACCGATGCCTCTTTCAATGCCTCTAGTACGAAGTACTTATGTGACTCTTTCAATAGTAGTGAACTGGCCTCTGACGACGGCAGTTATAAAGAGTACTCTTCAATCTATCTCCAAAATAATGAAGCCAGATATAAAACATTACAGGATCTTCAGTATGTGGAACCAGAAAACAGAGGAAAGATCAGTATCTCCAGTTACCCGGATGATGTCTTCAATTGTGATGAGCCAGTACAGGTCCACAAAGGAATGGATCGAGAACTTAATTCAAATGATATGCTCATGAAAGAGTTGTCTTATCAGCTTAAGAATTTAGCAAAAAATTAATTATTTAATCAACTTGTTTGTACATGTAAGCTATATGTAAACAAAGCTTTAGTAAATAATACATTTTTACTTAAATTTGCTTTGATTCTACGAAATATCATTAATGGGCATGACTGTTAATGACGTTTAAGAGAGGAAGCATGTCAAAATATACTTGCATGGTGGTAAAATTTCCTTATAGAACAGCGCAATTTAAATATCATATATCGATTTTTATAACTTTAAATATATTTAGATGAACACTTATATTCCCATCTTTGCTTTTTTTTCTTGTGGATATTACTTGATTATTGACATACATGTATCACATAGTTGTGGCATCACAATGAGTTTTGAGTAAGTGAAGTAAAATAAAGTAGATTCCTACATAAAACGATGTAAAACATTCATATTGATGTTCAACATGGGGTATGAAGAATTTCCCATAATTTTTTGTTGGATAACATTGTAATTTTTATCCAACTCGTTGTTCTTTTAGTCCCAGAGCTCGGGGTAAAAAAAGAACGCACAACTCGTTGGATAAAAAAACTTATCCAACCACAAATCACGGGAGATCTAAGTTTTACAAGGAAAAGCATTTTTTTTTTAAAATTAAGAACCTTATTCGCAAAGTAGAGCTATGAAAACTTGATTATTTATAGTAGATAAATTTTGTATTAACCAACACGCTTAATACAAACTTTACATCATTTGTTCCTTTTATAGAAGAATACGATTTATTTAAACATTTATAAAAGAAACAAACTAAAATCTCTTTTAATGCATTAACTCAGATTTCTTGTACGTTTTCAATATATGTATTTGAGATAATTTCCTTTTTAAAAACGCAAATTTCTGAGAGAAAGTGTGCTGCGACTTAATTTTTTCATTTTATATTATGGAATGTAGTGATACTGTAATGGTATTCACCATCTTGATTTTAAAACAATTATTAAAGTCTGTAACCGTTTTTAACTGTTTCATGTATACCAAATTATGTTACAAAACACTTTTTTTTCAAACCTAGTGCAAATAACCTACTTTTAACAAACAACCCTCATGGAAATTTCTCAGAAAGATATAGTTAAAAAACGTTTTAATAGTTACAAATGTTCAAACTTTAAAAAAAATATATTAATGCATAGAGGAATTCAAAAATCTAATTTGTTGAGGTATTTACGTTATTGAGGAAGTTGTTTTTTGTTTTATATATCTGAATTTTACATCGGAAAAACTATATATGAAGTACATACAGGAACTTTTTGAAAGTGCTAATTCATAGTCAAACCTTGACCCTTTATTTTCAAAATGCAATAAAAGTAAACCGCTTTTTTAATAAACTATTTTTAAAATCAAAATTTCAAAAGTTAATTTTTCTTTAATTGAGTAAAGGAATATTATTATGAACGTGTCAAAAATAAATGCTCAGGTGTGATATACACATTTTTTATTCAAGTTATTATCAGAATTTGGGAGTATGATTTAAAGAATTAGCAGTTTGGTGAAGGCTTATAACTCTACGAGAAAAGGTGATATATTGAGTAGTCTAAGGTTAAAAAAATATACCCTAAAATCTTGAAAATAAGACGGATTTAATAATAAGCCGGTTTTGAAAATAAGCCCCCTATTTCTTGCATTAAAAAATCACTCGAAAATAAGCCAGTCTTGAAAATAAGCCGGTCATGACAATGCCATTTAGGAAAAATGTTAAACGTTTGACGATTGCCTCGTCTTAAAAATTCGACGATTAAAAACTGACGATTTTTTAACTGTGTAAATCTTTCTTTAATTCGTTTAACCTTTACCAATTTCTGCATACGACTGTAGCTACTTATGAAATTATAAAACAATAATTATCTCATCCAGACCTGTACAAGCTAACGATGTGTTTAAAGTTGTTATAATTAAATAAGTAAACGGATAAAAGAAAGTTTTTGTTTGTAAAGCATTTAACTGTCAGGTAACACTGCCCGAGGCAAGAAACCTGCTGATCGGCAGGGCTTGGTAGTAATTACATATCAATGTACCGTATAATTGAGTTGTCTTAATATGTGTTTGTTTGACTAATTTATCAAGTGATTCAATTGCAGGCGGATATCTTATATATTATTTTTACTTTTTAAAAACAAGTTTATATTTCATGTAAATTTATATGCTGTATACAATGAAATTATCTTTTCGGGATCGACATTCTCAAAATATAAAGTAGACGATTACACCATTGACCTAAAGAAAACGTACACCGGGGAATGCCAATGAATAAAAAAAATGACGAGAGAAAACTTTGACGAGCTAAAATCATTCGTTATAATTGTTTTTTTTCCTTGTCAAACTTTTCACTTTTACAGTATTTTTTCTACACGCAAGATACTGAACAAAGTGTTATTGTTATCATTTTATTTTATATTATATTCATGATGTTTTAATTTTAGATCGAACAAGTAGTTCCCATTCTATCGATTACATATTATTCAATGATTATATGGAAAATAAACCTTGATTGTGCTCTCTACTCTTACCAGTTTTTTGCATTGATAATAAGCCGGAATTTGAAAATAGGCCGGATTTGAAAATAAGCCCCAACTTTCTTACCAAAACTTAAAATAAGCGGCGGCTTATTTTCAAGATTTTAGGGTATATTCATGAGAGAGAAATATTTACAAAGGATACTTTTTCATTGAATTACGATGTAATTGTTTGCACTAATAAAATCTTTAATTTTCAGTTTGTGTTCCTGGAACATTTGGGGAAAATTGTGAGGAAATTTGTCCAAATGGAACATTTGGTTATCTTTGCCTCGAGAAATGCAACTGCAGTGAAGGAGTAACCTGTGACAAAAGACTTGGCTGCGTTGAGCACAGTAGGTCTAATTAACATGTGAAATATTCAATTAAAAATAAAATCAGCAGGAAAAGGATTCTTTTTTTTTAAAGAATTGAATTAGGAAGGACAAATACATACCATCTTTAAATCAATTTTATACTGTTTATTTTTTCATTTCAACATACTATTTAAAAAGATAAAGAAAAATGTCATTTTTATTAATTAAGTTCAAAGTTTCATTTTTCCCTCTCATTACAGGTGCTTCAAATAAAGGAAAACTGTTTATCATTGTTCTTTCAACAAGTCTTGTAGTCATCCCTAGCGCAATTTTAATAATGCTTCTAAAGATTAGGTATATTTTATTCAAATCTATGTTCTTTTATCAGAAAATTTATTTAAAATCTAACAATTTTGATTTAAAATTGTACATTTTTTTCAAAGGGGCGTAACGTTGTGCAAGAAATGCGGTGGTAAGTTTCCTTGCAATTTCATTACTGAAATCCTTTTAATAACAAGTTAAAACATGAAGTACCGATTCTGAAATAATATGTTTTTTTTCTGTGCACAGATTTTGCACCGTCAAATGATAAATCCGATAAGATATTACCTGTTTCTAACATTCTCTACAAAGAAAAAAAGACAAATCAGCCTACACCAGTACTTGTACCAAAACTTAGTTCACGAAACAACACGGAGCAAACCTCTTTTAATGAGGACGGTAGTAATGAAGAATTCGAGCAAGGTGTTTACAATACCCTTACACTTCGGGCCACTGGTTACGTTGAATCTGAAACTTGGACAAGACATCCAGTCATTGATTGCCATACCGATGCCTCTTTCAATGCCTCTAATACGAAGTACTTAAGTGACTCTTTTAATAGTAGTGAACTGGCCTCTGACGACGGTAGTTATAAAGAGTACTCTTCAATCTATCTCCAAAATAATGAAACCAGAGATAAAACATTACAGGATCTTCAGTATGTGGAACCAGAAAACAGAGAAAAGATCAGTATCTCCAGTTACCCGGATGATGTCTTCAATTATGATGAGCCAGTACAGGTCCACAATCGAGAACTTAATTCAAATGATATGCTCATGAAAGAGTTGTCTTATCAGCTTAAGAATTTAGCAAAAAATTAATTATTTAATCAACTTGTTTGTACATGTAAGCTATATGTAAACAAAGCTTTAGTAAATAATACATTTTTACTTAAATTTGCTTTGATTCTACGAAATATCATTAATGGGCATGACTGTTAATGACGTTTAAGAGAGGAAGCATGTCAAAATATACTTGCATGGTGGTAAAATTTCCTTATAGAACAGCGCAATTTAAATATCATATATCGATTTTTATAACTTTAAATATATTTAGATGAACACTTATTTTCCCATCTTTGCTTTTTTTTCTTGTGGATATTACTTGATTATTGACATACATGTATCACATAGTTGTGGCATCACAATGAGTTTTGAGTAAGTGAAGTAAAATAAAATAGATTCCTACTTAAAACGATGTAAAATATTCATATTGATGTTCAACATAGGATATGAAGAATTTCCCATAATTTTTTGTTGGATAACATTGTAATTTTTATCCAAGTCGTTGTTCTTTTAGTCCCAGAGCTCGGGGTAAAAAAAAACCGCACAACTCGTTGGATAAAAAAACATATCCAACCACAAATCACGGGAGATCTAAGTTTTACAAGGAAAAGCATTTTTTTTTTTAAATTAAGAACCTTATTCGCAAAGTAGAACTATGAAAACTTGATTATTTATAGTAGATAAATTTTGTATTAACCAACACGCTTAATACAAACTTTACATCATTTGTTTCTTTTATAAAAGAATACAATTTATTCAAACATTTATAAAAGAAACAAACTAAAATCTCTTTTAATGCATTAACTCAGATTTCTTGAACGTTTTCAATATATGTATTTGAGATAATTTCCTTTTTAAAAACAAAAAAATATCTGAGAGAAAGTGTGCTGCGACTTAATTTTTTTATTCTATATTATGGAATGTAGTGATACTGTAATGATATTCACCATCTTGATTTTAAAACAATTATAAAAGTCTGTGACCGTTTTTAACTGTTTCATGTATACCAAATTATGTTACAAAACACTTTTTTTCAAACCTAGTGCAAATAACCTACTTTTAACAAACAACCCTCATGGAAATTTCTCAGAAAG